CAGGTGGGGTCTCCCCAGAGCGGAGCAGAGGGGCAGAACCCCCTCCCTCGCCCTGCTGGCCACGCTGCTGGGGATGCAGCCCGGGATGGGGTTGGCTTTCTGGGCTGTGAGCGCACATCACCAGCTCATGTTGAGCTTCTCATCAACCAGCACCCCCAGGTCCTTCTCCTCAGGCCTCCTCTCAATCCGTTCTCCGCCCAGCCTGGATTTGTGCTTGGGATTGCCTCGACCCAGGTGCAGGACCCTGCGCTTGGCCTTGTTGAACTTTATGAGGTTGGCACAGGCCCACCTGTCAATCCAGGTCCCTCTCGATGGCATCCCTTCCCTCCAGCGTGTCGACTGCTCCACAGAGCCTGGTGCTGTCAGCAAAGTTGGTGACGGGGCACTCGATCCCACTGTCCGGATGTTAAACAGCACTGGTCTCAAAACCAACACCTGAGGAACACCGCTTGTCGCTGGTCTCTTGCCCTTGATTGTGTGGAACCTGAGGAACACCGCTTGTCACTGGTCTCTTGCCCTAGATTGTGTGGGAACATCTTTCCGTTTTGACTTCTCCTTTCTTGGCCTTTTTCACAGCCTATAAGAAAGAGGTGCAGAAGGTTAGGAGCTGTTACATAGTTCAGAGCTTCCATATCTTTAGCTACACAGCTGGTTCAGGTGTGGCTAAGGCTGGAAGTGACTGAAAATTATCATCTTGTTAGATATGTGGCACCTATAATGGGAATTTTTAGGTTTTCTCAGTGGGAGATGAGCCTTTATTGCAAAACCTGCACTTTTTAAGCTATACTGCTGATCCCATATACAGAATGCTTATGGAGAGTGACCGCTGGAAATAACCTGTCTTGATCAGGACTGAACTACAGCAAAATAAAATGTAGGGAAGTTTCTGCTTCCATTATACGCGTGTATCTGCACAATATGTGTTGATAACCAAGTCTTGGGTGTCTTAACTCTGATTTGACATCTGCAACGGGAAGAGCAGTTGCACAAGCTCAAACTTTTGAGTTAATAATCTCCTTTTTTCTTTAGGTGGCCACTATCCTATTACCTTTCATTTTAATCCCCTGGAAGAGCAATGCTTTTGCCTTTTGAGATTTGCGTACATGCGTGCCGCCGAGCACCTTGCTATGGTGCGCGTTCCTTCACCGCGGTCATTGTTGTTTCTGAGGAGCAGTGAGCCTCCATCAGCTTAGGAGAAATCCATTATCCTCCTAGATGAGTAAAGCCAAGTGCCGCTACTATGTTACCGGACAGATCACTTTCCATAAACCTTTTATTAACTGGACTTTTACTTCAACTCTGCATTTGGACAGGAGCAACTGGTTTTTAATGTGTATGCATGCATATTGCTTTGGCCTGGGTAGGTGGCCTGCCTTTCTGGCAGAGTCTGCATCTTTATGAAGCAAAACTAATTAAAAGTGGGACTTTGAGTAGAAAATGCTGTTATATCCTGATACCTTTCAAAATATTGTATCACTTCTCTTTTTATTGGGATTTGTGTGCTGTGCTGGGCTCAGACAAATCTGCTGTGTTTTGTTTTAGCATGGCTAACTTGAAGATCGAACTCTCTAAACTAGATAGCGAAGCCTGGCCTGGGGCACTGGATGTGGAAAAGGAAAAACTCATGTTAATCAATGAAAAAGAAGAGCTTTTAAAGGAACTCCAGTTTATTACACCACGCAAGCGTACTCAAGATGAGCTAGAGCAGCTAGAAGCAGAAAGGAAGAGGCTTGAAGAAGAGCTGCTGTCTGTAAAAAGCACACCCAGTCAAGCACTTGCTGAGAGGTAAGGGCTTGTCTTTCGCTAACATTAAATGCTGCTTTCTGCAATCTAACCTTTGTACTCATTACAGACCCTGAACTATGCCTTGATGGGCTGTTTTCCTTCAGTAACTGGTCTATGTAGATCTTAATTAAATTAAATTTGTTATTAGCCCGCTGGGCAGAAACACAAAGAAGTCTTCTGTACTGTGAGAGAACGTGAACACCCTGTATGTGCTCTGCAATATCAGTTGCTCCGCGCTTGTTACCAGCATGAAAATGCCTGTGACAGATGTTAAATAACTGAGGAATGTCAACATACCAGCAGGAGGGCAATACATCATTCCCTCGTTTCTGATAATAGCGGTAAACTATTTGAACTCAGGTTACAAAGATTATCTTGATTGTTGCACCGTCTGAAGCCTTTCATTGTGAGTTTCATTACATACAAAAATGCAACCAGAAGAGGAAAAAAAACCAAAAAAAAGAGTTCAGAGGAGAAGTATAATTGCTGCAAAACTTTCCTAACTTGCTGCTACCTAAATGGTAACTAAAGCAACTCCCACAGTACATTGTTTTAGCCAGATTCAGAGCTTGAGAAAATCAAAGGTGACTGTCACAAACGGACTTTTCGTCAGCTCTAAGTGGAAATAAACGTATGGGCACCTCTAGCACACATAAAATGCAGTAAACACAAAATGTCATTGTGTGTCTCAGTGTAGTATGCCTTACTGAAGCAATACAGCCAGCATCGTAAGCCTTTCCTACTTCCCGCTGCTAGGAAGCACCTGCTGTTGCTCCAGTTTCACTGAATGGCAAAATTCCCGTTAGTGGCATTAGAAGTTGGGTCCTAAATTGTAGTTAAATAGTGAGGAAATTTTGTGTTTACAAAGTACGTTTGTGTGTATTAGGCACAATTTTTAAAAATATCTGTACACTTTATAATAGTTTAAACTCCATTATATTGAGAATCCAAACCTGTTTTAGAAGAAGTGTTGTGTCCTACTGGAACTATATTTTTACAGGAGAATTTACCTGTCTGGTTTAGTAGTATGTAATTTACTATGGATCCGTTGCTTTCTGACTTCCATTAATAAATGGAGAATACGGGGTCAATAATAAAATGACCTTCACATATGAACAATATGAATCTAAGATTCTAATAATATGCTCTTGTAAGCTAAATCTTGACTTACTCTGTAAATAGGTAGCTGATTTCTTAGTCTTGTGTTAGGGATTTGCTTGTTTAGCGCCAAAGAAAATTCTGCACCAGATCATTTTCCCGTACATGTCAGATGCCAAACTTGGAGTACTAAGGGCAAGTAAAATTGTCTCCCAGTGTTGAGAAGAAATGAAACAACAGATTTTTTTTCCATGTATAGTGACACAACTAGTTGTTAGAGCCTAATTTTTTTCCACACTATTTTCTTTTAAATTTCTTTCCTTTTGATTTTTATTCCTGAAAACATGGAATTTTTTCCTGAGGTTACTGTAAGATTTTATGCCATACACTGCTGGTTGAGGTAGTATCTATTTCTGGTTTGCTTTTTTTGCTATTCCAGTGAAACTCCAGTGAGTTTCTACATGCAACTCTTTATGTTATTAAAACTGTCTCCTTTGATGACTTCAGGGAACATAAATTCTTTTGCATTAAGCTATTTTGAGGATTATTTCTGGTGTGTCTGCTATAAACATAAAGAAAATATTCATTTTTGAAAAGGATTCGTATGGTGAAACTTTTCCTGAAATGTTAATTTGGGAAAAGGATACAGTTAATTGTATCTCATCAACCATCAGCATTTTAATTCTTGGAGATGAGAAAGATTCTCCTCTCCATTATCAGTGGAGGAGCCACACCATCTCCGAAGTGCTGAACTGTTGTTGCATTACTATTTTCTTTCATGAAGTTTCATGAATGCCTTAGGTTTCCAGTGTTTTCACAGGCACTGGTAATGAAGCAACAGGGTGAGAAGTACGGACTGTGTCAGAGCTTGATGTGACAAGGGGTGTTGGGTTTGGTGTTTTGGTTTGGTTTTTTAGGTTTTTTTCTAAAGGGGAAGAAACAGAAGACTTGCTCTGATTTAGAACAAAGACGTTATAGCATAGCTCTGGGCTGTTTTGGAGTAGGATGCTGAAATTGCCACTAGTAGATGTGCTCAGAATCAATTTACAGAAGGAGGGTATAAATCATAACATATCAGCTTCAAAAAAGCAGAGACAGGGCATACTCTTGACTGCCTTAAGAAGCCTTCCAGCAACTGTATAGAAATAGCTGGATTGTGGAACTGTTGAGAACTATTTTCCTGCCTCTGTGTTCACGTCAGGGAGATTCCATTACTGCTTTAGTCCTTGGCAAAATCTTCTAAGAAATCACAGGCATTTAAAGAGATGCATGATTTAACTACTTGATTGTGCTGTTGCCTGCAACGCTGGCCCCTGCTCTTGTGCCTGCCATAAGCAAACAAGTCCACATAAGTTTGCATGGAAAGGTGAGTTATGTGCACTTTTTAGTGTATTTTTTTTGAGGATTCTGTGCTCCTCAGCAATGTTACAGTTTAAGATCAAAACTGGAGACAGGTATCTCACTGACAGTCAAGTTGCTCCCGCAATGAGTAATAGGTAATTTAGCCGGGAGGGGTGTGAACAGGAGAGACTGAGAGGCCCATGTCAGAACAGGTAACATGATGGTTGTTTAGGTGTTTACATCGTCTTTGGGATATTAAAGTTCCAGCTTATGCTGTAAAGAAGGAAGGTTCATTGTTGGAAAGTTTTTGGTTTTTTTTTTTTCAATTTGGCCTGATGTAGAATGAAAAAATTTCCGTGAATCTCAATTTGTTCTGAGACGGTAAACTTATTTCCTGTGTGTCTTGGAACTTCCAGGAGTGATTTCATCATCTGGCTTGTGTTTGTGACTTGTGACTTAACATCTTTCGGAAATTTACCTGCAGGTATTAATGCTACTTCTTTAATTACTCATAGATCAAATTACATCCAGGAAAGAATCTTTTTTCAGAAGCTAAACTATATGAGATAAATTACATTCTATCGTCCTCCTTAAGATAATAAAGGAAAACAAACTTGCTTGTGCTTTGGAGAAAACAAACAAACCAACCTTTTAGTTTAATAGTACAAATTCAGTGGAACAACTGAAGATGTCTGTTTTGAGGACTCCAGTCAGAGAAGTTCCTAAGCTTTTTATTTTTTTTTTCTTGCCTTTTGCCATTAGTAGTTGAACACATACAGCAGTTTTTGTGCTTCTTCCTTAAAGATAAAATGACAGTTCACTGTTGAAAAGCAACAAAAGAGTTAGTGAAGAGCACTCTTGCTGGAGTAAAGCAGGATAGATTAGGCTTTAAAAGAAGGCAGAGCTGTTCAGCATTGCCAACTACACGTGTGGAGTTGAAGTGGCCGATACCACAGATGAGCGTAATTCTTGGTTTGGAAACCCGTGTGCGTGTCTTCTTCAACAAAGAATGAAATACCGTGTATGCTTTTAACAGACTTAGCAGGTGTTGGCAGATGAACACATTATTGCGGTGTAAGAGCACAGCAGCGTAGGCAGTGGAGTGGAAGTTCACACCCTGGATGACCTCGGGGTAACTTATTCACCTTTGCATAACCCAGATTTGCTCGCTGAATAAGCATGGGTGCAAGCGAGTGCTTTTCATGCTTTGCTGAATTGAGGACTTAATGTCTTTTTACTGGTATCTGACACTCAAAGAGAGTGAATTCTGGGAACTCTCGAGTATTTCATTCAGTTTGCATAAGAAAGCAATGGTTGATTTTTGGCTTTTGTTCTTTGAAGTGTTGTCTGCATCCTTGAGATGCCAGAAAGGCCAAAGGAAAGGTTTCTGAGAATGAACTGCAAATTTGTTTTGGTTTTTTGTTTGTTTTTTGTTTTTTTTTAAGGAGTAGAGGTAATTTCTTGTCCCTCAGATTTGTTGCTTGAGAACTTGTGACATGCGTCAGTTGACTGAGCAAGGGCTAGAGGAGAATATACTAATCCACAACTACAAGAGGGTTTTAGCCCAATCTACTGAGGGAAAGCAATTTATTTGGTGTTGTAAATGGACTGATATAAGAGAATTATAAAGGGAAAAATCACTGTAAAGGTTAGAGAATCCTTTCTGCTTGCAAGCCAGCCAAAAGGAATGGGAGAGTTCTACCACTTGTGGTTTTAGAGCTAGGGTAATGGTGCAGGAAGCAATAAATCCTGCTTTTTCATAAAGGTGAACCTTCATAATGAGCATTACAATGCTGTGTGGCTCTGAGGTGATGACAAAGCTGTTGGGGATGTAGAAATCTTTATCAAGGACTCCTAAATATGGTGCATCATCTCAGAACCCTGCGCTTGAGTGCTGCTTTGATTTACTGTGCTTTGTCTCTATATGAAGACTCTAAAATCAAAGGAATTGGTTTAATTTTAAACTTCCTGCAGTGCTACTCCGAATTCTTGCATTTTTAGAACTAATACTGATATTAGTGGTCTTTTGGGGTTTTTTTTTCTGAAACTATATTAAGTGAGGAGTAGGTCTGCAGCATGGCTTTATAAAACTGTATTAGTGCAGATGTTATTGTCCTGAAGTTGCAGCTATTTTCCCAGTGCTCATCTGTTACTCTTTTATTGGGTGCCTGTTCCCCTTTGTACAGTGTGACTGTACCAACATGCTGCTTGCTCGTACACTCAGCAGGTTTGTTACAGTGCTTAGTATTCTGCAGGTAAAGTCACTCTGCTGAAGTGGTTCGGGTTTTACAACAGGACTGCGAGCTAACACAGCCTCTTGGATTTTAGTAGTTGGCAACCAGATGAAAATATAAGGGATCTTCACTTTGTTTCTGTCTTACCTATAAAGTATTTTAGTCTCTGGGTTATTTTGTAATGCTTTCCTATACTTAGATGTTCCTCTCTTTCCAGGTTGAAATTGGAGGAGAGAAGGAAAGAGTTGGTACAGAAACTTGAAGAAACTACGAAGTTAACTACTTACTTGCATTCACAACTTAGGAGGTGAGGTTGTACTGCATGATGTAAAGCCTCTTTTCAGCAACAGGCTGGTGGACCTGGCTCTCTAAACTTCATTCTTAGGTTTTTCCCTTAGCTGGAAGCTGAACAAAATTTGTTTAATATTGAAGTAAGAAAATGCAAGTCTAATAGCTTCAAGCGTTTTGCCACCATAGGAACTTGGTGTACTCTTACAATTTCAGCAAGCGCTCGAGACTGGATTGAATGGATATTTTGTGCAGCTTCTATAATTAAGCTGGGAGACATTATTTTGCTTCTATGTAGCATAAATAAATAAATAAATCAGGAATTCTCTAATTGGTCATAGCTCCAAAATGCTGTCATTGAGGAGACCAAATGGTTTGTCAGAGTTCTGTCTAAAATTAGAACTGTTAGAACTGTAGCCTTTATTCTGTGTAATAATAACTGGAGAGGCTCAATGAGTACCTGCACGCATCTAAATACTTCAGTGAATAGTTGATTCTGGTTTTATTCTTCAACACTGACTTATGCTGTCTGTCGACAAAGAAGTACCCTCAGCAGGATATTTTTTCCTGACACTCATTGATTCAAAATCTGACTCTGGGTTTATGAAATTCATAGTGGTAACAAAAAGGTAATCAGTTACAGCAACTGTGAACTCAAACTCATTGCTCTGATGGGAGTTCTGATATTTAATGATACCTGTAACTGGTCCGAGGGAAGAGTTTCTCTCACTTCTGGACTGTACCTTGGGCTACCAAGCCATATGTCCATTATGTTTATTTAGAAAATCCTGAATTTGGTCAAACTCCTTGCATATCACAGTGGTACACACCAATGAAACACCGCATTAATGTTTACCAATTCTCTTAGAAATCAAAATGGGGCTTTAAGAGCAAAATGTTTTTAAGCATCCTATAAAGGTCCTCTCACAATAAGCCATGCCATCCTACTCCTGGGATCTAGGCTGGCTTAGCCATTTCAGACGTCTGAGCCAGATCCCATAAATCGCATCTTTCATTTTTTTTTAATTTATTTTGTGCTCTTGTTTGTTTGGTCTTGTGGGTCTTTTTATCCCGTTAAACGCAGTTTTCTAGTCCAGTGGCAAAGTTTTTAAAGTTGATCGCTTTGTTCAGTAAACGTCTCTTAAGTGTTTAGAAGAGCCTGCCTTGAATTATTTTTCCTGACATTTTTTTCCCAGCAGAGTCCTCCTGAGCCAAGGCAGTGACACCTTCTCTTATTAACAGGAAAATACTGCGTGTTATGGCCTTTGCCGTGCTTATGCAGTTGGATTTACTGTGCGCGTAGAGTGTGTACTGTCTTATAGATGTGAAGCAGTTCTGCTATAAGTCGTCCGCTTCTAGCTGCCATCTTTCCCAGGTGCAGAAGGCAGGCTGCATAAATTGCTTTAGAGGTGACAGCCCTCCTGTGCTGCCCTAACCTCCTTCCTGGGGGTCCCTTTCCTGTCACGTTGACCCATGAGCGCCCACATCAGAGTGGAGCAGGTCTTTGAGGGAACATAGCCGCTGAGAAGGCTGCTGTTACTGCCAGACCAGTTTGTCAGATCCGTAGCCCTCTGCAGAAGAAAAGGGGCTTTGGCAACAGGCTGTAAGTTGGATAAATCGCCGTGATGGTGTCGGGCACCCTGATCTGAGCCAAGAGTGGGTGCTTAGAAAACACAGTGCCCCAAGCAGCATTCAGTTGTAAATTGTTATAGTGCGGCTCCCGTCAATCTTATCTCTCCGTGTACCGTTTTGTGCTGGTTTCGTTTAGTAACATCGGTGTGCGTGTTTGTGCTTTCTTTGCAGCCTCTCAGCAAGTACGTTATCTGTGTCTTCAGGGAGCAGTCTGGGATCTCTGGCATCCAGCCGAGGATCTCTGAACACGTCAAGCAGAGGGTCGCTAAACTCGCTCAGCTCCACAGATCTCTACTACAACCAAGGCGATCAAATAACGGATTTGGACTATCAGTATAAACTTGACTTCATATTGCAAGAAAAAAGTGGTTACATTCCTTCGGGGCCTATCACTACTATTCATGAAAACGAAGTGGTCGGTTCCCACGGGAGACTGGGTTACAGTGACTCTCCTTCAGCTGCAGACCATCCCAAATTGACTGAACCTCCCAAATCTGTGACATCGTTGTCTTCCAGATCCTCACTCTCCTCCTTGTCCCCCCCAGGCTCCCCTTTGGTTTTAGAAGCTGCGTTTTCAGTGTCGGCTCAGAATTCCCCTCTGCATCACCTCACTACAGACTTTGAAGACTGTGACATTTCGGGTGATTTTGCGGGCATTAGTCTCTGTGAGAACCAAATATTACTGGACTCTGAAGCCGGAGCAGGATCTCGGATTCCTCCAGATGACAAAGATCTTAATGAAGGCATTAGGCAGCCTCTGCCTTCTCTACATGAAGGAAGTTCAGGTAATTAAAAAAATCTAACGTCAAATATATACATTACATGCAAATTTTGGACTGAAAGCTGGCTCTTGAATGGGAAGGTACCTCGTGTAACTGAAGAGCATCTTGATTGGCATACATTTGCCATGGTGGGCGGTCAGTAATTCGGAGGGAATAGAAACTTCTAGTTCTGGGTGCAGAGAGCTATGATCACCCCGATTCCATCTACCTTTTTCAATAGCTGTCTTAGAAGGAAAGTTCATGTGTGGCAGATTCTGTCATGAAAAATGAACAGAAAAACCTGAAGTTGGATCTTGAAGACATGGATGCATGGTGTTCCTAGGTATCGTCAGCAATATATGGGGGTAAAGCAAAAATACCCTTTGTGGTTTTTTGGTAACTTGAAATCAGGTACTTTGTTTCTCACTGTAGAATAAGTTATAAACTGACATCCTCAGTAAAAGGGATTTCTGGACTTAGGAGTTAGAACTTTTATGTGTGCATGTGTTATTTGAACCTGCTGTCACTAAAAGATCTGCAATTAATTTTTTATATGAGTTGAGAAAGACAAGTAATCACATGCCATGTAAGTTACAGTAAGACTCTCCCCATTTTTAACACAGATTTCACAGCTTTTAGCTTTTTATCCATCTGAGCCAGAACAGAGCTCCTAAGCTAGTCTAGGTCCCCCCTGCAAATTGTGGGTAACTTCTAAAAGGATGAGTCGTCTCACCCTAAAACATACTTCCCTGTAAGGAAGATGAGATGAATGACCCTGGGAGGTAACCTTAGTAACTGATTGACTTTAACTTTGAGATGACTGAATTAGGTGTCATGAATTCCACTTCTAGTTTGCAGTAAAAGCCATGGAACATATTTAGTCGTCTTATATTGTCAAAGCCTTTGGCAGTGTCAGAACTTCAAAAGTCCCAGCTGTCAAGAATTGATGGCTTCTCCTCAGTCTTAGAGCATTGATTTTGCTGCCTTTTGTTAGGGTTGACAGTATGTTGTGCTTTCTCTGCACATTTATTTTTCTAGTGTTATTTTGTGTCGTTGTCTTTAAGTTTGTGTGTTTCGGTTACAGGGGGGCTCTGGTTTTCCAAGGATGAGCTGAGGGAGGCAGATTTCCACTAGTGCTGAGCACGGGCAGCCCTGTTTGAAACCTGATCAGCACCTAGCATACCCACCGCCACGTTTCGGGGCCCGAGTTGGTAGTGAAGCGGCTAACTAAGGAGTTTGGGTGCCTTAGAATAAATACAGCTTAGCTGGAGAGAGTGCATTGTCCAGATTTGTTGCCAAGCTAGAACCCTTGTGCCTGGAATTTGCTAGTTTTTAATAAAAGTACCTGGATGTACTGGTAACAGACTGATATAATTAATGAGAAATTTACTTTTATTTATATATATATATATGTATGTATATATATGTATATCTCAAGGAAGTGTAACATCTGTTGGTTAATTAGATTAGCTTAGTGCAGTACTGTAGTCATTTCAATGTTGACCAGAGCAATGTGGCACCAGAAGAGAAGTGTATGGTATACACAGTACGAGCTGGGAGTACCCCCTCTGCTCAACTGTGCAGAAAGAAAAAAAGAAATTGACTGATGTCCTAATGGTCTGAACTGTGGAATGGAAAGGGATTTGGGAGGAAGGGGGTCATTTTATCCTTTGTCTTTTCAGTATAGTGGAACAAAGTAGTTGTTTTGCTTTAAAACCATATTATAAAAAATGGAAAAAATAATCAGTTTTCTTGCCCATATTTCAGCAGCATATCCTTTCCAAATTAACAACAACTTTCTGTCTGTCTGTCTTTGCAATCTGGCTGCAAGTCATCTAGTCTGAGAGCTGAATTTAAGGTGGTTTGGAATTTGGGAACGCATAGGGCTACGGGGAATCAGATTTTTTTTTAAAAAAAATTATTTCTTTAGATCATTATTTTCAGAGGCATCATGTGGTTGTCTAACACTTTTGAGTTTATTTGAGGACCTGTTATTCCGGGTAGTGTCAGGGTGTCTTTTAAGTCTGTAAGTAGTTACAGTTTTAAAATGTAAATGCATCCTGTGACTTCCTTCTGTAGGGTCATATATATGATACAAATTATCTTTAAATCTGTATTAAGACTGCCAAAACAAGCACTCAGATTTTGAAAAGGCAGATATTAATTAATTATGCTTCGGCACCTCTAGTGTCCACAGTAAAATGGGTCTCATAGTGAGGCTTCAGTACATCAGCAGTGAGACGCTGGGGTTGGTTCAGTGTTTCTACTCCAGTTTCATTCTTGGAACTGCTGCGATGCTGAATGGGAAGGTTTTCAACAAACTCAGCTGGAGGCATGAAACCTGCATGGAAAATTTCAGCCCCCACAGTTAAGTTTTGCAAGACTACAAATCTGAATAATGCTGAAACTTAACTTGAAGGTAGACAAACATACCTGGAGTCAGTATAGCTGCTCTTTTCGTCTGTTAATCTGCATTGGCTCTTTAGATGCAGCGCTCACCTGCTTCTGTCTCTGACTTTCCTGTACGGGTGAACCATACAGATATTTGCTCCTCTGCACATGTCTCTGCTGTCAGAAACCAAGTTGGAATATCATGTAGTTCTTCCACAGTCAGTCTCTGTCATCGTCAAAGTCAATTCAGGCTGCTGTGGTAATTCCTAAGGGTAATCAATAAATCATGTCATCACCTTCACCCCTCACGTGGTGGGGGGGAAGGGAAGGAGCACTTCATCATCAAGGAAAAAGCATTTCTACTGCCGTAAATAAAAGCACAAATGCAGCAATCAATCATCTAATCTGAAGCCTTATATTTTAAACATCTTAACAAGATGTAAAGTCATGATTCAGGTGGGGACAATAACGCATACCAATATCCTCACCCCTTGGCGGATCCAAGTACCGCATAGGGCCTCAACGTACTATGTTGCAGAACGTGGCTTTCCGTGAATGCTGCGGTGCTTCGCTGCCTGACGCTAGCGTACGAATGCGAGTTGAAGATTAAAGCGAAGTAGGAGTTGATAGTAAAGAGACCATGGCATAAACAGGTTTTGATGATAGTAAGCCAGAGGGGATTTTTCATTCCTAGCAGTTACATCACTGGGGAGAGGGCATCTGTCTGGCTTCTGAATATTTAATAAACAGTTGGCAATCACTTCGCGTGTAGCCGGAGTGTTACTACAGTGCGGAATGTGAACGTGGCAAATGCAGGTTTAAAGATCAGCATGATGAGGGTTAATAACGAAGATAATGAAGGATAATAACTAGCTCAACAGATAAGGGTGATGATAGGAACCTGTATCTCTGGGAAGGAATAATAGTTGTACATTTTCAAGTTCATCAGTTTGGTTGTATCCCTGGCCAGAATATGTGGTAACAGCAGTACAGACTCGGAATGTTTAATGATGTGGAACAAAACTACTCCGTGATACTCAGTTAAGGGTCACCGCTTTCAACTTGACAACTTTCTAAGCTATGCGCTTCTCTCTTTCTGACTATTAATCTCTGGGACTAATTTTCATTCTTCTTTCTTTTTGTAGGTGTTGACTTACCGCGCAGAACAGCTGGTCACCTGCTTGAGGAGAAAACAGCTTGTGTATCTGCTGCCGTGTCCGATGAGTCTGTAGCTGGAGATAGCGGTGTATATGAAGCTTCTGTGAAACAGTAGGTTTGAGAAATAATGCAAGTCTTTCCACCAAAAATTTAAATATGTCTATAAGCAGTTGTATAATACCAGCATAAGCACTTTATTGGTCTCGCCTTTTCTATAAATATTTTGTCCTTTCATACTGAAAGGAAGGCACGTTTGCTAAACAATGAAGTTTGATTGCTTTCTTAAGCTAATAAATTTGCATTACCGTGCTTGTATAACTTGGTTGAGTAGCATTAATGTGCTACCTTCTAATCCTGCTTTTATTTTCTCTTGCTAGAAGTTTTCCTAGGAGAAGAGCTGTATTTAAACTATACAGGTCCTGCCATGTGACTGCATTGACTCTACTCTGAGTGACTCTTGTTCTGTCTTGGGGTTTTTTTGGATGCAATCTGAAGATTACGTAGCATTTTACTTGCTATAGGAAAGATAAGACAATCCTCAGTTGTAATGTTGGTATAAAAGTAATCTAAGAAAGGGTTTAATATTCATGCTTCACCGTGGTGAACAGGATACAAGAAATGTATTTGCTATTGCTGCTTTTTGACAAGGCATAGCTTCTACAGGATTATTCATACTCGTTCATATAGTATTGTCTGTTTTCTGGCAGTGAGAACAATGAAGATTAGACTGCATAACGGAAGACTATTGCAAACTGTGACAGAAACTAAAATCTTTATTTTCCACCTCAGTTTTGGGAAGTTCTTCACATCTAAGAATTTTTTGTTCTTTTGGATATTCAGAGAGGTGTTTTAGCAAGATGCTTACAAAGACGTAAATGCATGGCTTCTGTTGCCAGGCTAAATGCTTTATTAGGACAGGTAAAGGTGCATTATGGTATCATAAATGGGTTTTATTGGTCTCTGATAAAATTAATTCTACTTGTCAAGTCTTTCACAAGTTAAAAGCTAATAGATGAGACCAAATTATAAAGGTGAAATACAAAAGGGATTTCCCCTGAAGTGTTACATTCATTCAACCTCATCTTTGGTCATGGTCCCATATTTCACCCTGAACTCTGAATCCTAGTATTAGTTTGCTCCATGTCTTCAGTTAGACCTAATGCAGCTTCTCAGGCTGAAGTAAACTCCCATCTATTAAAAACGCAGCCTTCACTTGACCGAGTGCCTGTCCCTGTGTGTTTTGGTTTAATAACCATTGTTCTCTTCTGATTTTTTTTCAATTCTGAGGCACTGTGGGTCAAAATTTATCCTCTGTTCTAGTTATAAGCCCAGCGGATAGAAATGAACAGACATTGGACCCAAAAGCTGTGGATGTTCTGTGGAGCGAGTCTTTAGCTGCCCTCTCCAGTGGCTGTGAGTGGTGGCATAGCTGGAAAACAGAACAAATTCCTGTCTTCTTCCTGTCTTTGCTCATGAAAAGACAAAAGACAGCAGTTGCATCCCCCAAACCTGTGTACAACGGGAAACTACTGCCATTTGTTCAAGCTGAGATTTACAGACACTAGTTATTCCGTGATAGCTCCAGGTGTGGATACTCTTAATTCTTGCTGAGTAGGAAATAGTGAAGAGGTAATGAGTGTCTCTGTGTGAGTTGCTTATGTTTAGCAGAAGTGTCTTTATGAACACTGTGTATGGAATAACTTAGAATTTGTCAGTGTGCTCCTGAAGTTATATAGTGACTGATTTCTACTGTACAGACCAGTCTTTTGTGTTGAATAATTTAAGGCAGGGGAGGAAATAAATATACCCTATCAAATTAGCCATCAATCAGGAAATTAATAGGAAAAAAGAAACCTCTAAATGCAGAGTCTTAAAATAATGCTGCCATGTCTTGATAAGGCGTGGGATGTCTGTGTCTTTCTCCACATTTCCTGTCTTGACATTTCCTATCTTGATGTTGTTTATTGATCCCAACAGTCTAGTTTTAAACATCAATGAAACGCATTAATACCACATCCTCACTCAAACCTCCCAGAAAATGATTGGAAATTATTTTGCCACATGGATTCGCTGTAATTCCATTCAGCGCTAGAGTTGCTCTTCAGCTGCAGGACTTGAGTCCTTTTTGTTCTTCGAACCTTTCTGAAAACAGGCTCAGAGGGAAGATGCTTCTTGTTTGCACAGAAACCTCTTTATTTTACAGAGCTTCTGCTTCTCAAATGTTCTCCAAAGCAGTATTTCACACCCAGTTCACATGTGGTCTGATGGTTATCAGAAGCTTTAATTTCCAATTTTGTATTCAGGGGGGTAAAGAAATACTAAGTATGTATAGGAAAATGTCATGATTTTTTCTCTGGGCTGTTAGTCGGGCCTGCTTCAGCCGTCAGCCTCAGCTCTTTCCGACTCATTACTGGAGTTGTCAAACTGTTCAGGCAGTGACTGTCCCTAAAACAGGCATTGCTGTTGTGTGAGCTCTGAAATTCTTATTTGGATCACATGCTGTAATTAAATCAGCTTGTTTAGGAGAATCGATATATGTTCTGTGTCCGTGTACGTTAATTATTGCTGAAAGCTAACTATAATTTTCCTAAATTTGAGTATTTGCCTGTTTGCCCTAGACCAAATGAAACCGAGGACATTGTATATAGCGAAGATGATGCAACAACTCTAGAGGCTGCTCAGGTACAAATAGGACTCAGGTAAGTGACCAGCAAAGGGAATATCTCTGTTCATACGTAAATGTGAATAGTAAACTTCCCTCACGTTGTCCTTTCTTTAACAGATATGACCACGGCAATTCAAGTTTTGTGATAATCATAGTACGGCTTGGAAATCTTCCAGCGTTTGCTGTCCCCCTTGGCTCTAAAGTGTAAGTCAATCACTGAGGAGTAGTGTTGAAATATGAGAGTATAATAATGAATTGTACACATTCTCAAAAGGAATGGATTGTTTTACTGCTTAACAGCACTGAAATATGTATAAAACTTTTCAAACTGTAGACATACTTCACTTTTACATATTCCAGCAACGCTGCAAGAAAAAAGTTGTCGGGAAATTTGCACATTCCACTAAAGTGGAACAGAAAGGATTTTTTTTTAAAATGATGCTTCATTTTGTGTTTTTAAACATGCTATAGCTTTGTGAGTGCAGAACAGCTATTCTGTAGTTGCTAAAAACATTGTTTTGATACTTTGCCGTTCTTTCAGCTCAGAATCTTGTCTTTTTACATTTATGTGGCGTTTTGCTGTAAACTAATGTTACAATAGTACGTGTCCTTTAAGTGAGCTTTTAAAGGCAAGGGATAGTTTGTTCAATTGCAAGTGGACAAGCACGGCCGCGTTGCCATACACCTTCCCTAACACCGGGAGCTTGGAGGTCTGTTAAGGATTAGTTCTTGCGTTCAATTGGACAGGAAAGGTGTGAAAGTGATTACAGTGGAAATCACATGTAGGAAATGAACAAAAATGCCTGAACTGTTACCACTGAGATTCTAATCGAAAACTCTCATCTGTACAAATAAGTTCAGCTTGCCGTGGCTCCTTGGGGACGCTTGTACTCCAATGAGCTTTTTTACTGGAAAGCTATCTTCAACTGCTGAGAAGCTTAGTAAGATCAGAGTTAGAGCATAATCAGTCCTTGGAAAATTTGGTTTTCTTGCTGGTTCCCTTCCCCCCGTCCCCCATCACTTTGAATTTCACTGGCAGATCAACAGGGGGTCACTCAATATGGAAGGGAAGTACAGGGATACAGGCCTGGGTGCTCCTTGGAGTTTTCTGTTTGTTTTTGTTTGGTTTTAATGTTATTAAAAACGGTTGTCTACTACCATCCTTCCCTCTCTGTCCTCCATCGTTCCCCTGCTGACCTTCCAAGCCCACCAGCATTTAGCACAGGAATACAGAAAAACTATCAAAGAACAAATTGACACAGCTGAGAGGAAAAGTAGATAATGTAGAATATAAAAAGGATGACAACAAAATGTTCGGTGAGGTAAAGTTAGGTTGTAGCTGGCATCTTTTTAGGAATTCAAGTATGAAGTTGTAATTAGTAGTCAAGACTCTTCAGTGCAGAAGTCCGGACCTGCTGCTGCTAAAAAAATTAAATTAAACTAAAGCTACCCAAAACAAGGAGGAAGAAGGGACAGGGTAAAGGAGGGACCTCGCAAATAGCATTTTTTCTGTCACTTGCCATTGTGTGCAAATACGTATATACTGTACAGATATGTACAATGATAAAAATTGGGTCTGGAAAATGATGGTATGTTATAACTGTATTTTCTAGAACATCAAACTGGATAGATTAGTACTTTATTGAACCTTTACACACAGAGGAATAGATTTGACGGGAGGTCTTACTGGGATCTGTTTCCACACCGTTTGTAAAAGTTGTTCACTTTTAGAGTAGGTAGAGAGCCCGGCCCAATACTTAATATTTGTGTCAGGAGCGTTTTTTCATCAGTTGGGAACTCATAGGTTTGTCACATCAAAATCTGGGGCATTGGTTGACTATTAAACTTTTTTAATTAAAATGAAAGTAAGTACTCTTGTAAAACAAAGCCAGTCAGCGTTTTTTCTTTTACTTCTCTGTTTACCCCTCATTCTGGCCTGATGCCAATGTATTGGCTAACAATTATTAAAAGAAAGCTCCAATGAACCACCTTTTAAACATACTTTTAATATACTTTATCTTCTATTCCTGCCTCTTTTCTAAATGTTTCCTAATTGCTTAATCTGTTAAAATGGCTGCTTTCAGTATCTCATGCAAATTGCTCACCTGCACGTCTGTGAATACGGCAGCAGCGTTACTGCAGTCACGTTATGCTGCTGCTTAACTTTGGGACTGGTTTGTCACGCTGTTGGATACCTGCTATCCAGGCTACACACGCGAACCAAACAACTTAGATCTTACTTTTTATCCCAAGAAGGGGGCCTACAGCAGAGCTGGGGAGGGACTTTTCACTAGGGCATGGAGTGATAGGACCGGGGAGGAATGGCTTTAAACTGGAAGAGGGCAGGTTTAGATTAAACACTAAGAAGAAATTCTTGACTGTGAGGGTGGTGAGGCACTGGCCCAGGTTGCCCAGAGAGGTTGTTGAGGCCCCATCCCTGGAGGTGTTCAAGGCCAGGCTGGATGGGGCTTGGAGCAACCTGGGCTGGTGGGAGGTGTCCCTGCCCAGGGCAGGGGGGTTGGAATTCGATGATCTTCAAGATCCCTTCCAACCTAAACCATTCTATGATAATTGGGGAATAAAGGCTATGCCCACATTCAAATAACAAAATCAAATCTCTCACAGACCTAATTTCTTGTTTAATTAAAGTAAGTTTTTAGTAATAATAATAACAACAGTATGTATGAAGTCATTACCCAAAAATATAGCAATAGTACTGTAAATTTTTGGAGAACAAGTGTTTTCCAGAATAATTGTCTTTGGCCCACTTTTTTCTTCTTACTTTAGCTAGCTTCATTGCATTCTATTCTACAGAGAATGTAAATTATATTTAAAGCCAATACCAGAAATAGGCTAATGCGTAGACACAGAAAAGATGGAAAACAATTACTATGCTCGTTCATGTGTATGAGAAGCTGTGCAGTAGGTAAATAAGACGTACAAATTGCGTTAGGGATGTCTTTATTCTATCAAGCTACTACTAAAGCAAGACCTGCAAGTTAGTAAGCATTACCTTTACCCACATAATAGCCGTTCATATTTGTTCTATAAAAAGAATGCAGCTGCATAACGGTTTCAAGTTATTCTTTGTACTTAAGTTTAGGCTTGCAAGATGCGTTCTTCGAAGTCTCACTTAAAATATTATGAATTGATCTTAAGCAGCTTTGGGCCTAGCTATGTTCTTACTCATTTTCCTTAGTTTTCTGGTTTCTTCGGAGGTTTTGTTTTGTTTGTTTCTTTAAAAGATTAGAAGACATCACTGCTTTTTAGTGCTGCTCACGTTGTTCTAAGAGTTTCAATTTTACATCCACACAACTTTTTCTCATATTTTTAAATTAACATTAGGATCGTGTTTCCTCCCATCTGTGACATGATCCTCAGTGTTCACAGTACTAAACCAGAGGATAAATTTGGATAGAGACAGAAATAGCTACCTCTCTTGCTACTACCTTACCAGGCACAGAAGTTCCTTTTTGGGAAATGTTTGTGCGAGGGGCAGGAGAAGTTTCTCACTCCTCTTTTTCACCTCTTTGCCATTCCACCTCTGATTCGTTGCTGTTTCATTTTTCTTGCTCTGCAGACCTTTAGTTGATGGGGTCACCTTCAATCACGCGTCACCAGCAAGTGCTAGTTTAAATACAGGTAAAGATTTTGTTTTGTTTCCGGCAGGTACATTAGAGTAGCAGTGCTTCCATCCTCAACTGACACCAGCTGTCTGTTCCGCACAAAAGTTCATCCTGCCATGGAAACCATTTTATTCAACGAGATATTCAGAGTAGCCATTTCCCAAGTAACACTGCTACAGAAGACGCTGAGAGTAGATGTTTGTGCTGTCGGTAGAAGTCGTCGGGAAGAATGCTTGGTATGCGGTTTTATTTCTGGCTTTTTTTGGCATGCATTTGTTTATAGCGTCCCCTCTTATTTTGGCGGTCAAGGCTGCTAAAATTCCACAGTACCTGGGGACGAACTCAGAAGCATAACTTGGTTGTTGCTATGGTACTTAAAATCCTACCTTTCTCTGAAATTCCTGATAGAGAATCTAATCCTGGATGGAAGTTTGAGGTGTTTTGGTAGTTCTAACACTGCATTACCTTAACCCTTTAATTACATATTCATATTCCATCTTTGCAGTTCTATACATTAAAAAAGCCCATAAACTTAAACGCAACATTATTTTAACACTAGCTTTTAAAGTAGAAGCTAAATAAGAAGCCATCATATGTCCAAAAAAAAAAAAAGCAAACCCTCATTATCACAACTTGTCACAAAGTACAAACTAAATTACATTTTTGCACATTATTGTAGATTGTGTGATGTCCACCTTTTAAGTCTTTATGATCTGTAGAAATAATAAAAAGGCATGACATTCATAGACCACTCTGTTGGAAGCTGGCACTTTTAAATTTTGTTGTTAATTGTGGTCATCACCTAATTAGTGATGCTTCGTTTACTTTCAGATTGCTTTTGCATGGTCTGGTACAACTCAGTTTAGTTTTTCACCATGAGTCTGTCTGAAGGAGATTTTTAGTTACAACACGCTGGAATCTGGTGGGGTTCATCAGCCCCAACTACTGGGAACAGCCTCTCACTTCCAAAAATGCAGAAGTTAACTTAATTCCTGGGGAATGTGTTGGCCGTTTTCAGTATGTAAAAGGTTTCCCCTCAGGTGAGGGAAGGGCGGCAGAACAAAAATGCAACAGAATGCGGGATGCAAAGGTGAGGTTAAAAACCCAACAACAAAAAAACCTCAACCACCAAAGACACAAGGGTTAATCAGAAGATCAAAAGCAAGAGTTGGGAGTACCGACCCCAGCAGAAGGCTCTGGGCAACACGACCAGAGTCTTGGCAAGCGCTGGGTACGCAGCCTGGTAGCTGTGCAGATAGTTTGCTTTGCCACAGAATAGGGGATTTTCATTTCCAAGGCACAGCCCAAACACAAGTACTTCCTAAGTTTTCCCAGAGTGCCAACTCAGTGGATGTCAGCGCTTGTCCAAGTGAAAGGGTTTCTTAATCTCTTTTACTGTCTTTTCATCTGCTTCTTCGCTGGTTAGAGCAAACAAGGTTATCCGTTATTGTTTGCCGTATTGATGATTTTTGTGGTGGAACAACTGAAAAATTGACTGAAACTTGATGTTCCATGAGTTGATGCTGCAGGTTTCATTAACACAGTTTTTCATTATTGAATGCTAGAGAAAGCAGACGTGTGCATTATGGTGAGCTAGAGGGTTTTGTGTGTGTGCGTGTGGGGAGAAATTCCGCAGACTGAAATAAAAGATGGCAGAGTGGACAATATGAAGGACCTTCCCATGTACTTCTCTTTGTTTATTTTAACTAGAAGTGGAGCGAAATAGAAAATTGTACAGTTAAAAAGGGAATTAAGAGTCATGTCAAATTTGTGCTGCCTATTTTATATGATAAATACTGTTGAATTTCTTGTCAGCTGTCTTGCAGGAAAAAAACCCAGATTTAAATAATTTTCTTCCCCTCTCTTATTTTGTGCAGGCTGGGACTCAGATCAGCCTGGCTGATTTATCATTTTCTGATGAGACTTGTGCTCTGTGGTACAACCTGTTGCCTTGCAAGCAAATTCCTGGCAAGAAAACCAAGGAACAGAATGAAGAATCCATGTTTCTGTTAAGCAAACAGTCATCAGACTCATTGGACTTGGTGAGCAGTGTGTCGGCTGTTACTGGAATAGCAAGAAAAAGGCCACAGACTGTAGTTGTGCTGTTGTACTGTGGTTACTTGAATACGTGAATTGTCCTCCCCTGAAAGTCCAAGGCCCTGTTGTCTTGCAGGCACTTTTCTCTGTAGTGACTTTGTGCGCAAGTAGGTCCTTTATGGCATTCCAGACTCGTTAGCAAGTGTCCATAGGGCTGATGCTTCTTAGTGGGATGCTAAATTGCCCTCCAATTTGAAACGCTTCAGCTATGTTTCATGTAAAAAAGAGTGTTATTGAAGAGCTTCCTTAAGTTTACCATTGATTTACATATGCACGCGTTAAAAATGGCTATTTATTCATTATTTGAATTTGCATATTTAAAGCTTAAAGCTATTGCACTGCAAATGCTGTTTATGCAAAACACATACTAATTCTTCTGGTTAAATAAGCTTTTCTGCTTTAATACCTCCTTGAGAGCTATATTAAAAAAATGTAAGAACAACCTTTTTTTCCCTAGGGATATTACAAGTATGAGAGGGAAAGAAAGACGAGACATTAAAGAATGACAGCAGCATATTTGATTGCCTTATCGTTTTAAAGAAAATCTATTTTTTAATTGAGATTTACTCTGTATAAAAACAATCAGTTAGTGTGCTACACACTGGACAATTCAGACCCCTTATACTGGTGATCTGAGTCATGTTTTTGCTGGCATCAGGGAGAAGTAGGGTGATGCGCCTCTTCCAAGAGTTGTCATTTTTTTACCTATGTTATATATCACTCAATTATAGTTTCATCTTTCTTTCCCTGTAAGCAGGATGCTGTGTCAGCTTTGCTGGAGAGGACATCTGCTGAGCTGGAAGCAGTAGAACAAGAGCTGGCTGAAGATGAGGAAGAGGAGGATGAACAGGAGCAAAGGGGCTCTGAGGAAGACTGGTAAAGCCACTTTTCCTCCCTCACTGTTCATGCCTGAATGATTCCGCTCATTCCTCCTATTTTTAGACAAATGAAAGGGCTGTACTTTTGGAGGAGATCATAGAATCATAGAGTGGTTTAGGTTGGAAGGGACCTTGAAGATCACTGAGTTCCAACCCCCTGCCCTGGGCAGGGACACCTCCCACCAGCCCAGGTTGCTCAAAGCCCCATCCAGCCTGGCCTTGGACACCTGGGCCAGTGTCTGGAACCACTACTGGAACTGGGGTAAAGTCTCGTTCTCTTGTGTGGTCAATTCATTCACCACCTTCTAGGTTTACAGTATCTTGGCTGCTCTGTAAACTCCTACCGCTGGTGCTCCTCCATTCCACGTACATCTTCCTGTGAAACCACCTGGGGAGTCTAAGCCACTGGAGGTGTACTCTGTCTTGTGTCACAGAGTAGTTGCATTAACTAAAAAAAACAACTAACAGCATTTGAAAGGAGAGCTGCTGTCTGACAAAGCCAGTGCGTGTGTGCTTCTGTTGATGGTCTTGTTTTTGAAGAAGTTGTGAGTTTTCCCAAGGAACAGATTTCTTGCTAAATTGCTGTGTTGAGTTCTGTTCCTGTGCAGGTAGAAATAAATACATGCTTTATTGTGGGGGAAGGGGAGACTCATTCATTTGTTTTCATAATTTATTGCAAGCAAAGTCCTTCAACGTTATCACATACAGCTATTGATTGTAGTGCAGTTTTGTCATAACGATCTTGAAGGTGAATTGTAGTACCGCTTGCTGGGTTTTATTGGAGCACATAATGAAATGTGCCTTCACGTGAACTTAATGGAAGCATTTGGGTGATACTCTTGTTTTCCCTATCAGGAAAATGCGTACATTATACATGGGTGAAGGCCTAGGCCATCTGATGCCTTTCTCTGGTGGACTTTTTCAGTTTCAGAATAAGCCTGGGCTACTTCTGTTCATACAGGTTAGAAATGCTCGCAGAAGCCTCTGACGAAATTGTGGATGAAGAGGAAGATGGCATGAAGCTGGCAGTAGAAGGCAGCTGTACCGATGACATGGGGTTACTCATTGATGCGTCAGAAACAAATGAAGACAGAGAGAACAGTGATGAGGCCCGTGACAGCCAGCAAGCTGCTGTAATGCAAACACTGGTGAATATCTTAAAATACACGTTCCTATGATATCTTGCTGTGTTTGAAGATCTATTTCTGAGCAGTTAATGTAGAAGTCTGCTGCACCTGAGCATTTACAATTTGATGTGGCCCTTGCTGTGGCACTTCTCAGTATGTACTTCTAACGAAATCGGTGTGGTCACTTCTGAACTATGAAGACTGCATTTAACAGACATGGTAGGCAGAGCTTCTGAGTCAAAGACAGTTAACTAAAAATGTCTATCTTCACTTTTTTTTTGCATAGGGAGACTATTCAATATACAAGTGCAGTTCAGTAGCTTCCACTTCTGCATATTTAAAATATTTCTGCACATCTGTTTCATTGTTTTCTTTTTTTTTTCCTGATTCACCTGATAAACGGGGGAAAGACAGAACAGGGGTCAAGATCTTTAAACCAGTGAGCGGATTTCCTTCTTTCTTCCCTTTATTTTAGGGTGTGAAATACAAAAACTGGCTTAGCAGAGGAGGAAAGATTAATGAACAGAAAATTCAAAAACGTGTATTAAACTGTGTACTATTGAACTACCCACACGCTGCACGTAACAAATTCTAATTCCATGTTCTTGTTAACTGTTCACTTTAAATTATATTCAACCTTTACTTTTAGTAAATTTTTAGTAAACATATCCCTGATGTGGTAGCACATACTCTAGAAATAAAATTTTTAGACCACCTTTCTGCATCTCAATGAAAACACTGTTGCATGCATTAAACTCACAGGTTCTGTAAAATAACAAAGGTAAAAAGGCAAAGAATGACATCTGGTTCCTTCCAAGTTTGTGACAATACAAAAGTTCAGCACCTCAGTGGACTTCCTGGAAACTGTAATTAACTTCCAATTAATGTGGCAAGATGCCAAACGAGCTAAGGCCATGGTATTAAAAGGACTGACAGTCTGCTGGGTAGCAAGCAAATACAGATCAAAGCCTTAACTCAGCCAGGGGAGACATGAAGGACAACATCTGAAGGTTAGGCACGCACACAGGGGTTTTGCTAAGCCCGGGCTGGACGGAGCCGGACAGTGAGTGAAAGACATAGTGAAGCCAGGCGCAGTGTAGGTCTGCGTGTGCCAGCTCCTCCCGGGGTTGCAGCTGTGCAATTTAGGTCGTTATATTTATCACCTGCACATTGAAAACCATCAACCTCATTAAATTACCCGAGTTGAAGAAAATGCCCCGGTGCCCATCAGTAACATCAGACGTGCCAGCTGCTGCAGCGCTTGTTCTAGCCGGGCTGTCAAGGTGATTGCTGCGCGTAAGCGTAAGCTGTGCCACCGACGGGGATGCTGGCACCTGAGGCTCCCTGTGCCACGCGTGGGGCAACTGTCGCAGGCAGCAGGCGCTTCTGAGGGACAGCAGCTCGCAGCGTCTTTTCCCTGGGCTCACGAGGCTGGCACAGCTCTGCAGATTGCCATAAAGCAGCCCCGCCGCTGGGGTCTGGGGACAGATGACAGTTTGGAAGAACTCAGGCAGTGTAACTTTCCCAGCTGCCCTCTTCAGTGTGCATAGGCATGGCAGAATCTTGCTGTTCTGCAAATGCAGAATAAAATAAACACAAATATAAACGTGCAACAATAACAATAGTGTCTGCAAACAGCAAAACAAAACACTTGTGCCACGGTTGCATCACACCGTCTGCAGGGCAGCAAAGGCCTTTCTGCTAAAGCTTTGGGTTTACCGGGTACAAAGAGGACCTTCAAAGACTACCCCCACACTGTTAAGAGTTTGGGGAATTTGGAAATTCTTTTCTTAGCACAGCTTCTCTGTATGTGCAAGATGCTTTTGCTACCGGTCTTTTTCCATCCACTGCAAGGTAACAAGGATGCTTGTTAAATCCAAAGGCACGAAAACTGCGTAGTGGCGTGCGTCTGGATATAGTAGTTCTTATAAACTAAATTCCTTTTCATAGGTTGATAAAGAGACTAACACTGAGGAATCGGTTAACGAGAACGCAACCGTCCGACCCAAGGACAGAGCCAGCTGGAGCTCAAGACAGCGTCCTTTTGTCAGGAACAGCATGATAGTGCGCTCACAAACCTTCTCTCCAGGCGAGCGGAACCAATACATCTGTAGGGTAAGAGGAAAAACACTTGGAATGAAGAGCTATTAACTAAAGAGTCATTTAACTTCTTGGGAATGATGCATTAATGACAGTAAGTCATGTACCAGTTTTCCCTGCAAGAGGCAGAGCCTGTGCTTTCTCTAGGTTCGTTCTTTCCATAACTGACCTGATGTATATGGTAGAACTGACTTTCAGCAGAGTTGCATGCTCTGGCAAAACACCTCTACTAGGGCAAAAATGCATCCCATTGGAGAGAAGTAACACAGATTCCTGTGCTGGCTGGCTGCAAAAAAGCGTGTTTCACTGCATGTCAGCAACTAGAGCTCTCGCACAGCAAAATAATTTGTTAAAACATAAAATAGAGTTCACTGTAAACTGCCATTGCATTACCATATTTTAATAATGTAACCAATTAAGGGTAACAGTGCGGAAAGAGCTCAGTCATCAATTTTAAATCTCACTTTGTATCTCAACTGGTTTTATACCTGGGCAGCCTAAATCCTGCTGTAATTACGTCTTTGAAAGATGTGAGCGCTGCCTAGGGGCTGAGTTTTAAACATGGCTTTGGTAACAAAGTTCTCCAGTCTCTCTAGATCTCTGGTAGCACGGAAAAACAGATTTAAATTATCAGCCCTGTTGCTGCTAAAGTAACTCTGAAAATCATGTGTTTAAAGATTTAAGCATGGATGGAGAGGGTCCAGCAAAGGGCAACGAAGATGATTAGGGGATTGGAACATCTCTCCTATGAGGAAAGGCTGAGGGACTTGGGTCTCTTTAGTCTAGAGAAAAGAAGATTGAGGGGGGATCTTATTAATACTTACAAATACTTAACGGGAGGGTGCCAGGGGGATGGGAACAGTCTTTTTTCAGTGGCGCCCAGTGATAGGACGAGGGGTAATGGGCATAAACTTGAACATAGGAAGTTCCATCTTAACATGAGAAGGAACTTCTTTACTTTGAGGGTGGTAGAGCACTGGCACAGGCTGCCCAGAGAGGTGGTGGAGTCTCCCCCTCTGGAGACATTCAAAACCCGCCTGGACGCTGTCCTGTGCAACTGCTGTAGGTGACCCTGCTCTGGCAGGTGGGGTGGACTAGATGATCTCCAGAGGTCCCTTCCAACCCTGACCATTCTGTGATTACCAGCTCTATAGATTACAGGTTACGGATACCCTAGAAAAGGAAGTTTATTTTTGATCTTTAGTTTATACAGGTTACTCACACAAGTATGACTTTTTTTTAAAAAAACACTTTAATTCTTCTCCAGTTCAGTTAGAGGTGGTTGACTTAATCATTTGGGAACATTATAGTTGATCACTTCTCTGTGATTATCATTGCCTTATATAAAAAAAAAAACTATAGTCAGTATCTACATGCTTAAATAACTATTCTATATACCCTCCAGAATGAAACACAGCAGATTGTTTTGTAACAATCTTTACGTAATTTGGATAGATTAGTGGCTGAATTCAGAACCTAGCCTTCATCTTAATTCCTGTACACTGGAAATTAGTTGTATTGGCAAAAAAATGTAGTCCTAGCTTAGCGCCTGTGGAGGTCTTTGACAGGCAGTAACACAGCTGCTCTGATAGTTTAGTTAGTGTAAACTCCTGAGGTTTTTGCATCTGGAAAAGTATTGGGCCTTTGTACCTTTGAACATTGCTACGAACCTGCTGCCAGAAACTAGAATCTAAAAAAACATACCTTGAATAAACCATTCTCTTCCTCGTTGTGTACAGTATTGCCTGGAAGCAACATAACCTGGGAAAAACCCATGTTTGAACAGATGAATCTTTTGCAGCTTCAGAAATCCTTGTAGTCCACTGTCGGAGCTCAAGAGTGGCACTGCAGCTGCACCCGAGTCCACGGAGAGGGCTGAGCAACACGGCTCTCCCCGGTCCTCGTCCCCAGCTTGCACCACAACCATATCCAGCCTCCCTCGCTTTGTGGTCTATACTGGAGGAAAGCATCCGTTGGCTACACTGTGGCAAACTGCCGGCTGCTCTCTTTTCACAAGAGATGGCCTAGCTTTAAGAAAGCAGCGACTCTCGTATGATGTTACAGCAAATACAAAGATTTTTGAGGCCCAAAGGACAGACCCAGAGTCTGTCGGTGCCTTTGAAAATACTCCTGTAAAAATCCTTAAAGAACATGGGTGATGATAGCCACCTGTACATACCCAGGGGTGAGTGCCTGGGATAGCGGCTCCATGGGGAAAAGGCAGATTTCTCTCTCGAGAGGTATATTCGTATTGCAGGAGGTTGTATTTCTCCCCCCCGACTCCCAGTCAGTCCAGTGTAAGCATGCTTCGGGGCACTGGCTTTGGTTATTGAAATGGTAAATGGTAGCAGGATGATTCGTTTTGGCTGTCCTTTTCTGAAGAGGTTAAATAAATACTCTGCAGATAGATTCTTCTTTTTTTCCTGAAGGTTACCACCATACATGCTGGTGCATCTAACAGTCAGTCTGCACTGATGTACGTGGAACTAATGCTATAATTAAGAAACTACTGCCGAGCTGTGGTGCGTATTTTTGAGAAGCAGGAAGTGTTTCTGAAGGAAGGTGTAGGCACACCTATACTCGTTACAACTAATACAAAAATACTGTTTGTTGGACAGGTGTACGTCCGCAGTAATTTACCTTCCCTGTAGTAAATTTGTTAAAAGCCTGCTCCAGGTAATTGAAACCCATAGTTTACAATCTGCCGTCATACAAAAGCCAGACAGTGATTTGGCAGTACTTAATAACCACAGTTACCTTCCTTGCATTCCTAAAGAGTCTACTTACTAGTCATTCATTAAGATCAATGGGTTGTCTTGGTTTAGGAATAGAATTTTAGAGTAGACGCTTACTCTAGGTGAAAAAAATTTTTTATACCGAGAATGACCTACACGTGTATCAACAGTGAGATTTTCTGACTGGTTATATCAATATAGATGTATTTGTGCACGGAGATGCTTTTATATCTCTGTTTGTTATGTATGTTTTGACAGTTGAATCGAAGTGACAGCGACAGCTCAACACTGGCCAAAAAGTCTCTCTTTGTGAGAAATGCCACAGAACGGCGGAGCCTAAGAGTTAAACGGGTATGTGCTGTTAGTTACCTGGACGTGGTTTAAAACAAAGCATGGGGAGAGTAGGAGCAGCAAACGCCTTAAACCATATGCTTTATTTCAAGCATTTCAGCAAAAGCGATGCAAGTACCACACGTCGTCCTGTAGTTTCAGGTTGAAACCTCAACACAGGGGTCTCAGTCCTGCATCTTCCCCCACCACTAAAGCTTACGTTGTTCTGGTTGTGGCTGAAGCCAGGAGCAGGACACCGGTGCCCAGCAGCGTGGCATCTGCTGTTGAACTTCAGCTTGTTACTGTTAAAGAACTCAAACGTCACAAAGCGAGCCGACGTGGCTTACACTGCACAAAAGTCAGTATCAGCAACATACATCTTGAGCAAATTTTGGTGGAAATTTTAAGGATTCCGATGTCCTTTTAAAGTGGGTTTAGTCTTCTCCAAGAGTGTTTGAGCAAAATGATCGAAGGACAACAGAGTAAGACTGTATTTCTCTTGCATGGAGTTCATTCTTATCTAAGTTGAGAGAGGTATATTTTAATGTTGATTGTAACTCAAAAACACTTCTGTGGAAGGGTTGTTATCAGGTAGCAGGATTATATTTGGCATAAGAAAGAAATACTGAATAGTCTGGGATGGCTTCTCCCGCCTGACTTAATTCATGCGAAAAGTCACTGTGAAAAGACAGTAAATAAATGTGAAATACACTGAAGAAATGCATGTTTACGGAGTTCAGAACATTATGTGTTTGCTTAGGCCTTGAAAAAGCAAATGTTGATAAAAATAAATAATGTAGTTGAAACCTCTGGGGAATTCTGTGCAGTTTTGGTCTGCTGGTCTTGTGTTGTCCTGGGGATCAGAATGGGGGTTGTTTTTAACCTGTAAATGTATCATTGAACACCTGCTTGGAGAAGCTTTTGCACTTATTTTTAGCTACTGACTGAAGAAAAATTCCGGGAAAGATGAATTTTTGGTCTTGGATCTCATCATAGCAGCTTTCTGCTAAAGAAAAACAGAAAGTATTTGCGCTTTTCTGACTGTTTTATGTCAAACCCTACACTAGCCTCTCCAGATACTAATTTTATTGTTCTGTCTCCCAAATGATTCAGCCTGTTTGCCAACCGATCATGCGAAGAGCTACACAGGAGTGCCCCATAAGGACTTCCCTTGACTTGGAGCTGGACCTCCAGGCGTCACGCACAAGACAGAATCGTCTGAATGATGAGCTTCGGGCCTTGCGGGATCTTAAACAAAAGCTTGAGGAAATGAAAGGCAGAGGAGAGACAGACCTTCCCCTGTGTGTGCTAGAGGACGAACGATTCCAGAAACTCTTGAAACAAGCTGAAAAACAGGTATGAGCAGCATACAGATATTGTCTGCGTGAATACACATACGCCCCCACCTTTTCTAAAATTTTGCTAAAGAATTCGGTCTGTCATGTTAAAGATTTTTGCAGAAGCTCACATTTGACTAATTATACCTCTGAATTACATAGTGTAAACAATATTTCTTCATTACTCAATTCTACAGCATTTAAACTTAGAATTTGAGGTAATGTTTTTCTAGTGCTCTCTAAATACTTCAGTAATTCAGAGCAGAATCTCTATTATTTGCAGTAATAGTTGTGGCCGATGTAGTAAAATAGTGTAGACATCTACTTAAAAGATAATGGAAAATTCTGACATCCCAGCCATACCTCTACGGACACGCATATGCTTTTTGTCCTTCAGCATCAGTTGATCTGCAGTCTGCACAGAACTTGCAGCCAAAAGATCTTTGTAACAGGTAGAGAGAGGCAATGCGCATTACTTACAGCAGTAGGGGCACGTGGGAAAGGCATTACTTCCACTGTGGCTTATTTCCTTATGCAGGACGTTCTAGTTTTTGGCAAAGGAAAGCCAAATTCTCTTCTCTATGTGATGATCTCTAAAACAATACAAGTATATATGCACTGTCTCTAAACTGCCATATGGTAAGACGGGATGCCCTCGTGTGGATAAAAGACAAGAAACAGGATAGAAGGACAACAGTGAAAAGTTGGAACATGGAAAATTCTGACAAGATCCATGAAAAAGGTGGATGTTGTGAGGTTCTTCTTTTGTTTTGGGGAGGTTGGTTGTTTTTATAAATTTTGAGGGCGACCATACACTGGAATAGGGACACAGGTTGTTAGGGGGGGCGCGAAACCTAACCAAAAAAAAAAACCCCTCAAACCACCACAGCTGGAGATACTCAGAACCTAACTGGACAAGACCCTGAGTACCCGGCTCTAGCTTCATCGCCTCTGGAGGGTGGAGTAGATGTCCTCTGGAGCTCCCTTCCCATCTGTGTCAGTCAATGTACATCAGTTTTCCATGAGGGGAGGTTGCTAGTGACATCCAGGAGGGATTTGTACTCTTCAGCTATTTATGGTCAATAGAGATTAGTGTTTTGTTGACAACAAGTCGTTCAGAGTAGTAAAAATGGAAAGCAGTTGTAACAAGGTGCAGAGGACCTCCTAATACGTAAGCAATAGTTGTTGGGTTTGTTTTTTTAAAAGCCAAATGTATGTAAATAGCCTTGGGTAGAGGAGGGAAGGGATGATCCTAATATTTACATATACAGAGCTGAGCTCTGAATTAGATGTTAGGAATGAGATACTCCAGATAGAAGAAACAAAAACATCAGCAAAAGCATCGCAGCCATCAGCAGCTGTCAAAAAGCAAATAAGACAGGCATTACTGAGAAAAGAAGTTGGAACAAAATAAATCATTGTTTTATGATATAAATACACATTAGGCCTGTAACTTAAACATTGTTCAGTTCTGGTTCCCCTTCTCCAAGTGGATAATAAAACTACAGAGGGTGGACAGGAACGGTCAAAGGAGGAAACAGTTTCTGTGTTAGGAGTGGCTGAGTAGCTACAACTGAAGGCTATAAAAGCTTGAGTGAGGTGGAGGAGAGCAATTAGTCATTGTCTTTTACAATACAGGAAGTAGGGAATTGAAGAGGTGGGAGGTTAAATACAAGCACAAAACAACATTTAGAAACTGGAGAAACGTTTTCCCCACAACATCAAGCGCTGCAAGTCTGCATAGGTTCAAAAAGCAGTTCGATAAATTCATGGAAGAAAAATCCATAAGACATCATTAACCATGATGCTGTCGCCTACTTCAGGAAGTCCTTGACCATCCGATAGCTTAGGAAACAAAACTTTTTCCCCAGTATGTTCTCCCAGCTCTGTGTTCATGCCCTGTTCTGTCCTCTGCCTTCCTGTCTCTTTCCTTGGCATCTGCTCTTGGCTATAGCGAGTGCAGTTCTAAAACAGCTATAAAATAGAAGCAGAGTTTCAGCTGAGCATCGACAAGTGTTCTGAAAAACCCTCGGGCAAAGTGGGATAAGAGCACAACATGGGAATGTCACACGGGGTAACTGTGGGGGTTTTTTTACCATGTGAATTCATTGTATGAATTTGATCTTTCTAAGTTTTAACCCATAAAAATAGTTGCTTATATAAAAGAAGCACAGCTGGATTTACTTAGAAGTTCATCTAATGCTGGATGCAGGATAGAAATGATAATTTTTAACTGTTTATTCAATTTAAAACTTTTCCCACTGTAAAGCTATTCCCACTAGAATAGCGTAGGCCTCTGCAACATTTAATATTATAAGTCCTTTGGATTTGTGCTTTCTTATTTCAGCTGGCTTTTTCAGGGCAGCAGATAGGTTGGTCATATTTTATATCTCTGGTGTCAGTGATCAGCACCGTGACACACACTGCGATGAGGAATAAGGGTAATAATAATACGTTCCTAAAATATATGCAGGCTGCAGCTCCGCATTTAAGTCCTCCTTTCCAAACTAAAAGCCAGAACAACAATCACAGCCACTCCACCTCTTTGAAGAGCGCTTACAAAGTTTCTAGAAATATTTTTCCCCTTAAAATCATTGCAGCCTTCCCCTGTGGAGCCAAACAGCCCTGAGAATGCTGTACTCTGCTGTCAGCGTTTCCTCTTGGGTTAGCAAAACACAACAGCCTAGAGAACATTGTCATAGATTATTTTTTAGATCCTGCAGGCATTATAATGGCGCAGACTAATGCAGCAGCTGGAAGTGCCAGGAGAAATTGAGAGAGTCTCAAGTGAAAAATGAAACTGCAGATGTGGGGGATGTTGAAAATCAGTGGCTGCTTGCTAGCACGCAGTTACTCTGCTTGAAGCCAAATACAGAGACTCCGTACCTTCCCTCCCCTTCCTTCCACACCTTCTGAAGTACAGCAAGTACAGCAAGCCCACTAATACCGGCAGATCAGAAAACAGGAGGTAATTTTGTGCACCAAAAGCATTTTCTCTTTTTTAGTTGCATTTCTGTGAGAAATCATGCACTATTTCAAAGTTTGGGTCTTAAATCTTCGTACAAGTAAGTTTGCAGACACTGTGTCCTCTGAAGTACTTCCTCTTTGTCTATGTCCAAAAAAGATTCCTGTGAATATCTGTAAAGATCTTTATTTCTTACCAGTACAACTTCTATGTAGAGGTAATCTGTAATTATGTCATTAATACTGCAAATATGTCCTTGTTTCAGTGTTTTGGTGTTTAGGATAGTTAACAGTTTTTCTTTAGATTCACTGTCATTCTTCTATACAAAAAACAACGAGACAGGAATTAGTGTTTCAGCTGTAATTTTGATAGTATTTCTTCTTTGTTATCTCATGCTTAAGCTAAGTGCAGATGCAGAGATTCCTATCTGGCACTTATTTTTGGCAGATAAGTGCCAGATTGTTGAATGTGTGGCCAATATATGTGTGCTTTTTCTATACAAATATGATGGAGGATTCACTGTCTTTGTAATTCACTCAAGAAACATGATGTAAATATAAACCTGGTCATGTACATACCTTCTCGCATGCATACCCTTAGAGACATTGGGCTGAAATCAAAGTTCCTCCGAGAGCGTCCTGAAAAAATAAAAGAATTAAAAAATGAAAAAGGAGTACATTGTAATGGAGAGTATTAAAACAGAGAAGTCATCTATGCTGTTAACCTGAAATGCAGTAGTCACAAGAATCTCGTGTACAGTTAGGGAAAAGATAAGATTAGAAAATTTCAGAATTTTCTATGTTTAGTGCTTTGGTGATAAATATTAACTAGGGGAGCTGATAAAACATATGGCCAGTGACATATGTAAGATTAATACACTGGCAGTTTGCAAAATTAGATTGCAAATTTATGTTCGCTAACTAATAAGGAAAACAATATTTATAGGTTAATTTAATTTTAAAATCATAGCTGTTTTGGAGTTGGGGACTGAAGAAGTTAACAGCAGTACAAGCTGACTGGATTTTGAGTGAGCTTTTGAAAGGGCGGTGGTCTTTCATGTTAAACACTTTCACATAAAACTCTGGAGCGTGTTTCAACAGACAGAGGGTACCGCCATCCTGCTGTAGACAGATTTCTATAAGTACCCACTATGAAACTGATAGTATGGACTAACGTTTTTGAATTATTTGTTTTGTTGTTTGGGACTCTACTGGGTTGAATTCAGAACTGGAGGCGTGAACTCCTGTGTTACAAACCAACGTTGAAGATCGCTGTGTCTGGCTTGGGTGTGTGCTTTAATTTGGGGTAACAGACCAGCAGTTTCAAGTCCGAGTGCCTGAAGTTAAGCATCAAAAATTAACTCCTAAAGAATTATAAACATTGTTTAAGAACGTGAACTACTTCTCCTTAATTTTGACGGCTGGCAAAATTGAAAATGCAGTAAATAACATTTGTCTGACGGTCCCTGCAGTCTAGAAGGCGGTGTTGCCCGTGCCACGCACCCCACACCTGACGGGGTGCGGTGGCCGTTTGTCTAAGAAATCCGGGTGACTGCTCACCTAAAAAGAGCTGCTGTTCAAATTACTGGGCACTCAGACACCCTTGACAAAGCGTTTTAAAAAACAAAACATGACTCTTAATAGCAGTCTGTTGCCAAAATGGTGAATGGTGCAGCTGTGATTGCCCTGTTGATGCGGCAGGGCTTGGTAAAGCCGTGTCACAGAGGCAGCAATACTGAGGTATGGAAATACTGTAACTTACTGGTGGGTATGCAGCTGCTCCCCAGTGTTCACATCAAGGAATACCCCCGATCTCTTATTACCACTGGTCTTCTCTTCACTGGCCTTGGCTTTTACACCTCTACAATGAAATGAAAGAAGTGAGTCTCACATGCAAAACAGGTATAGTGGCGTGAATAAAAGCACAAAAAGTTAATGAATATTAACTTTGCTACTTAGGTCAACAAAACTTGACAGTGTATTTTGAGAGCATACCTGCTCTATTATATTTTTGTCATTTTAGAATAGGTATAGGCAACTTTCCCAAGAGCTTGCATTAGAAATAAAGGTATTTTACATGGGAAGAGAATCGCCGTCTCCCAGTTCTAAAAAGATATTTGGATAGACAACATTTATTCATACAATTTTAGGTATTGTCTAACTATAGCCCTAAGAAATACCTCATCAAAATTTGTAACACCTAGTAGCTACCTGTGATAGCATGCGATTTGCTCTATTTATTTTTTTAGGAGAAGCTCTGTTATCTTATTTTGTCCCCATGGCTTTGGCTTGCGATGTCAGTCTTCTGCCTTGCTGATCCTTTATATAGAGTTTTTCATAGAATCATCTAGGATGGAAAAGACCTTTAAGATCATCGAGTCCAACCGTAAGCCTAACACCGCCAGGTGTTTTGCTTGACACGGAAGCATTTGTCATTTCTTTGAAATGAGGAGTAGTTCATTATTAGCAAAATACAGTTATTTTTCCTGTTTACAGGCTGAACAGTCAAAAGAAGAACAGAAACGAGGTTTAAGTGCTGAGAAATTGATGAGGAAGGCTTCTAAGGATGTATGCCGGTTACGGGAGCAGAGCCAGAAAGTGCCACTGCAGGTGCAGTCATTCAGGTATGGCCTCTTCTGCTTTTCACGCTCTTTTTAGTCTAGCGAAGCAACATGAATTATTTCTAAATATAAGCAGACACGCCCTGCAATATTAGTCAAAAATCCACGTGCCTTTGAATTGCAAGAAACACCATACATTTCTAACACAGCTCAAACTTGGGAGTTTTGAAGGAGCGTGCCTCAGTACGGTGCTGGTGTGGCAGGAGTGGCAGTATGTCAGCTGAGCGGTAGCGGTGGGGAGGAAACAGTGAAAAGTTGCAGACCACAACGTGGGATCTGCTGTGGGCGAGCACGTGCGTGACCATTGCCATGGCTCTCCTCACCCGCAGCAGATTGACGGTGGGCTGTAAGTAATGGGATGCGCTCCGGTGATGGCAGGTGCGTGCAGCACATCGCCCCTCAAGGAGAAGCAGAACAGCGCACATCTCATCAGGAAACTCATTAACCGCTACTCGTGCCTTGCTCGAGACTTATTATTCAAGAGGGATCTTGAATCCCTCCTCCTTTTGGTTGCGGGAACAGCAACCGATTACATGAAGCAATTAATCAAGTGTTCTTGCTTAGCGTAAGCGAGAACGAACCCTTTCTATCTCACACCTTAATTCTAACTGGTCTAAATTCCTAAAAAGCTGGACAGCAAGTGGCAGGCTAGCAGCCTGAAGGCCACACTTCTGTATAAAAATAAATATAAAACTGTTGACTGAAAAATACAATGCTTACTCTGCCACGTAGAAGCAGTATGGCAACCTAATGTAACCTGTTTTGTCACTAACACATGTTTTTAAAGTTTGATTTCTGAATTCTTGTGTAGGAAATTCAAGTTAGCTGCTAATACGCGTGAGGATTTTTTTTCCTTTTTTAACCCAGTCTATTGTGAGCAGTTTGAGAAGTCCAAAAGCAAGCAGGGGGGAGGCACACATTGCAAACCCCAACCGTAAGTGATGCAGAATCAAAGCAAGAGAGAAAGCAAAGGGATTCCTCAGCAAAGAAGCATTACAGCTGAGCTGTTTCTCTTCAGTGTGAAATTCAGAGCATCTTCAAACAGTTTTCACTTTCTGTGCAAGTCTTGAGAAGGAGTTTTGGTTGGTGCTGATCATTTAACATTCATCACAGATTTACAGGAACGTGTAAGAGTGCTCAAGACATCGTCCCCCTGCAAGAAGGGCATCGTAAGACTCTGCTCTCCTTTATCTTCTAATCACCACACAATTAGCTGAGGAATCCAGTTTACATAGTTGATCTTGCTCTGAGCTACCGTTTCTGATGGGAACTCAAGCTTTGCCACTGCAAAACATGGTTTAGTCTACTGGACAAATAGTTACCTCCTCAGGCTGCACTGTACTCGCCCTGCCTAGCTGCACTCCTTACAGCGCTGTGGCCTCAAAGACTAATCACACAAAGGCATTTTTGAAGCTCTCAAGAAGAATGACGCTTCTGAGCTTTAATTTTTAAACCCCCAATACTTATCATCTGCTTTCTAGGCTGCTGGCAGACAAGCTTGTGTAAACTTGTTATGCTTCAGTAATCTCTCACTTCAGAGGAGACAGAAATGGTAACAGCAGAGGGGAAGCAGCTAGAGAACGGGTTGACAATTCTGCTTCTCTAAGTCTTGCCCAGACCCAATTTATTTTTTTTTTTTTCCCCTCCCCGTTCCCAAGTCAGGATAAAATATTTTATTTTGCCTCTTCCTGCAATATCATCCTAGGAAATTCAGTGACTAGATCAGTATTTCAGGCTCATCATTTGAGTTAATGAAATCCTTTTTTTTCTTTTTATTATTTTTCAGAATTGAAGCTGCTTTTTACATAAATCTGCCTAAGATGGGAATTATGTCAGAACACTGGCAACCACATTTGTTGTAAATAAATTCACTGTGTATTTTCCTCACTGTATATTTTCCAAACTTGTGTTTTAAAGAACTGTGCTGTAACGGTAGCAACTGTACAGCAGATGACATTGGAGTCATGCCATAAATAGTAAAATAATAACTTGTGTTCTTTTCTAATTTCAGGGAGAAGATAGCGTACTTCACAAGAGCAAAGATCAGCATCCCAGCCCTTCCAGCTGATGATGTATAATTATGCGTTTTCACTGAAGTGTTTTCCACTTGCTCATCTCTTTTCAGATGAACTTTGTAGTTCCAGTGACCTGCTTTGAAAGATCTTCTATTTTACATTCACTATTGATATGTTTATTTGTAAAATACAGTGAATTGAATTGTTGTATGCTTAAAAAAATGGCAAAAACAACCAACAACCGGAAAACCAAAGTAGATTAATTTTGGTATACTGATGCTGATTTTGTACAGTTTGTATGTATTGCATGTGTTTTTATTTTGTAAAGAAGGAACAAAGGCAGTACTAAGCATGGATCCTGTTGAACCGCACTGTGTTGAGAAATATTACGTTCAACAGAAGATTGTTTATCTTTTCACTATTTTCATGTGAGCAGACTGTGAAGATGGCTGTTTTGCCATGCAATATTTTTGTACAAGAGTGTGACTTTTATAGTTTAAAGTTAACCACAAGCGTAAGCTCCTTTCCAAAACATCAAGGCTGCCTCACAACAGCTGCTAATTAAATTCATCACCCACATTGGAATTTTGTTTCTGAAAACAAATTTCTTCTGGTTTGGTTTGGTTTTGGTTTTTTTTAATACTTTGTAGGAAGAGATGGAGTTCAGAGTTTAGTTTTGTGAATGTACAGTACTTTAATCTGCACTAAAAGGTTTCTTGCATCTGCGGGAGAGTGAGAAAGGCAAGGCAGACAAGTAACCCTAAAAACTTACTATGAGACTACCAAAAGGGGCAGCTGCTTTCTGAACTGGAAGCTGAATCAAATTCATAATACCAACGTGGAAATCAGGATAGTTATATCCCCTGTACACTGAAAAATGAGAGTTTCTCTATGTTAATCTTTTGTCCTAGAGGCTGTCTTACTGCCGACTAGGACTAGGTACAAGTGTTTGTTAGGTTTCCAAATATGAAGAGGTTTTCGTTAAAGTGTTTGTACCAGGAGAAAAATCTATCCCATACTAACTGAGATATCGGAAGTCTTGTTGGTAAGGTAAACCATTTCTGAAAAAGAAAAGTTCGTGACTAGGAAGTCTTCACATATTGTAGTACAATAAATAACATTTTTAAAAATACACCATTGACCCTCTATGCAGTTGAGGGTGCAAAGATTTACTATATAATGTGAAGAGCATGGTTCAAATCTGCCTTACGTGAAGCAGTCTGCTAGGAAGCAGCATCAACCTGGATTCATTCATCAGCAGTCCAGAACAGGAGACGGTAGGGGTCTGTCTTGGTAAAGCAGTTGGGGTCTTACCTCCTGTGGGTACTGTGTGAGCAGGTGGACATTGCAGCCAACACCATTATTTCATTTTCTACTTCATACGTTGCACTCAGATGTATTTCATTGACTGGCTAACATTTTCTTCCCCAAACAAGCCACAAAACGCATGGACTGCCTCTTTCTGAAAAGGCTGTAATTACTTGGTGAGAAAATGGAAGCAAATATAACCACAATCTGGTAGCAGCTGTCTCAAATTCAAAGTGACAATTCTGTGACAAGAGGTCTGTGTAACACCCAAGGGTTTTCTTATGCACAAATACATCAGTTCACTTAAATGTATAACCAAACATGTTATTTTGGGCAAGATGACTGACTGAACACCCTTTATGAACGCCCCGTTTACTTTTTGTTTCTTGTGTTTGAGATTACATGAATGTTCGAAAGGTCAATTTGAAAAAAAAAAAAAACAAACACACACAACAAAAACCCACAAATCTGGAATTATTTAATGTAGAGGTGAAATGAAGGTTGACAGTTTCAACTTCTCAATTTGATTATAAGTTGTTTGTAGAATGATGTTTAGAGGTGTACTTTATGACTTTTCTTTTATTTATTTACAGTCTTATTTATGTTCTGTTTAATATAGTTCAGTTCTGGCCATAAAATATTTGACATTAAGGATGCCATCGTGAAAAATATTTAGAGCTGTCTCAGTTCTTGCCAGATTAGCTGTTTCTCCTCACGTGTCAAATAGTTTTCAAAAAAAGTATTATCGTCTGATTTGTAAGCGTGAGGTGAGGTCAAGATTAAAGGATTGCTGGCTTTAGCTTGCAAATCTCATTTAAAAATTGACTGTATCAATTTGGAGAATGAGGAGCATGAATATGTTTAACATATTTATAAGCAGCTTTTAACAATTCTGGGTTTGGAGTTTGGATCTTTTTTGATTAATTCAGATTGTTCACACTTGAAACACTCAATAGAATAAGCTAAAATAATACATACAAATAAGCCCCCATCAGTTTAAAATTATAAATATTGCTCTTGAAGTGGAATTTACCCTGCACAGCAGGGTCTAACAAATGTAATTAGTTCTATTTCCAGGTACCAATGTCACTGCAGTTCCATATGTCCAAATCTAAATATTCCTGGTACAAGAATATTTAGCCAAATGAGCAAAGTTTAGCAGAAATTGTAATAGAACACAAATCAAATAATGTTAAGATTTTTGTTTGTTTGTTTTACTATTGCTATGTTTATACTGTATTAAATATCAAATGCTCAGGACTGAACTAAATATTTAATCAGGTTATATTCTGAATGTGTTTCCGTTCTAATTTTGTCTGTAAGAGTATGCAAATACATCACATAGATTAACTTGTCTCTGCACTTTCCATGTGTTTCAGTGATTGGAAAATACATTTTTTAACAAAGCTCTTCTCCAGACCAGTGTTTTATTTAATTCTTTTATTGCTGTTCTACGTCTTCATATGCTCTTTGCAGAAACAGATGGCTGCTACAGCTTTGTCAATGTAAAATCATTGCAATCTATAGAAAGTTCACATCAATCACTGACAAGTCTTGGGATAAGTGATATAGAAAGTGATTCATATACTGAAGTTAGTTCTTTACATTCACTAAGTAAAAACTGCAATAGCAATGAATGTGGTCAACCCTGCACTGGACAACATCACATTATTACTGAGAAATACTGGCTTTCCTTAGAGAGATTGCGCAGGGATATATTCAGTCCTATATTCACACACACACACGTGTACGACAGAGAATCGTGTACTACATGGTACTATGTCTGAGGACATTTAGTTTACACTCATGTAAATGATGTCGGTCCAGGGACCTTCATTCACAGTTGTGCTGTATTAGGTTTTCGTAATGCATGTTGAACTGGCACTACAAACTGTTTCAGGACTTAAACTAATGTTATTTTTATTAAAAGGGCATTGTTTAAAGCAGCCCCGGGAGGAAATTCTGCCATCTAAAAGATGGTCCACTCTCCATACATGCCTAGAGATTAGAAATTTTATACTCGCTTATCCTTAAAATAATAAATATGGAACCACAAAATCAAAATCTGCAATTGATCAGATTTTGGAGAAATAGTGGTGACTTAGCTCTCCACAGCTCATCAATTAATGTAATAATTAAAATTGAAGGTAAGTAGGGATTAAAGGAACTACTTAGTAAGAAACGATCCCCCTCTTCCCCCCCCGCCCCCAATCTTGTAAACAGTAACCCCTCTGTTCAGCAGACCTTTCTTACTGTAATGTAAGAGTAAGAAATCTGAAAACCTGATATCTACCCTTTTTAAAGTCTTCTATTTCCAGTTTCCAGCTGTTGATAGGTGTCTTGCACATCTGCCATTGCATAGTGCTCTGGTAATTGATGGTCAGAAGATAAGCAGATTGTGGAGAGGAGTAGAGATCCTCCAAGGATTATAAAAAATCCACCAAACCAACCACTGAACAGTGCATCCCCTATTTCCCATCTGGGCACAATCTCTGGGATGTCTTCATCCCAAAATTCCTGGATTATCGTATGGGCAACCCAAGAAACAGGGACTAAGGCCAGAACTGCAGACATCCACAGGAGTATACCTCCAAGAAGTAACAGCTGTTTCTTTAGCTTCTGCTCTGTTTCCTCCATCTTTAGGCAGTCCAAACCAAGACTAGTGATCACAAGGCTCAGAAATCCTAGTCCATTTGATGTAGATACTAAAATCCTGGAAATCCTGAATTCTAGAGGCAAATCTAGGAAAGAATCAAAGTCTTTACACTGCGTTCCTCCTACATCTTGGACTATACAGGTTTGCCAGAGTCCCATGGTCCAAAGCTCCAGTACATTTAAGTCTAAGTTGAGATTTTTCCAGTCTGGCAAATAGTTACAGGTACCGGTTAAAATCCATCCTAGTACAGACAACAGAAATCCAGCTAACTGTAGCCTGTGTCGGTGGACCAAGTTCATTTTTAGCAGTCACAGAAGCACCAAACTGCTCAGTTTTGCAGACCCTGTGCTGCACTATTCTTTGTCATACTGAACATAAGCAAAAGTTAAAACAACGCTTTATAAAGCATGAAATACTCCTCCCCCTCCTGCTCTGCGGTGCCCGGTTCCACGTGCGGCGTTTGGGGAACGAGGAGGCAGCGTGGCAAACCGGTAGCTGAAAGGTGTGGCCACAGCTGGGCTCACCTTTCATTGGTTTGGGGGTTTTTGTTTTGTTTTTTAAGAAAAGCACGCACTTTGCTTTCCATCACTCCGCTAAAGCATTACAGCAGTCTTGCTAGTTTTGGCATCTCACAGTTCGTTTTAAAATTAAGTTTTAATGCCACAGTGATACAGTTCTACTTACACTAAATGAAGCTGTCTGCTTTATTGCTGGTTAAATATCATTTGCTTAAAGTCAAAGGTTACAGCAACGTGTTGTTCTGAACACACAAGTGAATGGAGCTCAAGAAGCCTGTGTTGGGACACATAATGCCTCAAGACCTATACTGGAAGAAGACAGCGAAAATATTTTTAAAGCAGTGTTTCTTAGCCTATTTTTTTTTATGCATAAAGCAGACAGGTGTCAGAAACACTTTGAATAACTTCTACGGGCAGCTTAGAGTTCCAGACTGGGGAAACACAACTCCTTGGGTACGAAGCACCCGCCCCGCAACACCCCGTGCACAAAAAGACATCTGCAAAGCTCGCTACCTTTTCAGAAACCGACAACCTTAGCACAACAATTTCCAAGTACGCAGAAGAACAATTTGCTGCAACGCATGTATTTAGCCAGTTTAGGATGTGAAAACGCTCCAGTTTGTACGTCACTCCGTTAGGCAAGTGGAAAATTGCAACAGGGAGTCAAGCTTTGAGGCTCATTTAATTGGTTACACGGGAAAAGGAAGCATATTTTGGTTAAAAGCCAAGCTGTAAGGGAACATGCATATTCATTTTCTGGATTTTACAGTGCAGTTGAGAAAGCAAAAGCACCTTTTTTTTTTGTTTGTTTGGTTTTGTTTTGCGCAGTCTATGAAAACTTCGGCATCCTGCTGTGAAACAAAGTTTTAAACAGTTCTGCAGGTGAGAAAACACACCACCTTCCGACCCCAGTTATGGAGAAAACAGATAAAAGTTTAGGAAATCAGCTAGGTAACAAAGAGTTCTTTCAATTACTACTGGAACAAGCTTCTGGCTTGCACTAGAGTTTGAAAAAGATAGGGCAGTCTTTCGGTACTGCTTAAAACCTTCTATCTTTAAGGCCTAATTTCGGTTTCCAAGTGTTGACACCGATCTTGCTGTTCTGCTACTGCGTAACGGACCGAGGATGGATGGACTTCAGTTGAACAGATTGTGCAATTAAGTAGGGATCCTCCTAATATAAGGCAAAATCCAGCAAGCCAGCCAACAAATAATGCTTCCCCAAAATCCCACCTGGGAACAATATCTGGTATATTCTCATCCCAAAATTCCTGGACTGTGGAATGGGCAACCCAAGAAACTGGGACAATAGCTGTAATCCCCGATATCCAGAAGAGCATTCCTCCAAACAGTAACAGCCGTTTCTTCTGTTCCTGTTGTCTTTCACCAATTTTCGAACAGTCCAACCCAAATCCCGAGAGCAAGAGGCCCAGAAGCCCCGATCCATTGGAAAAAACCATCAAAATCCTAGAAATCCTGAGCTCTGGAGGCAAAGCTAGGAAAGAATCAAAGTCCTTGCACTGCATTCCCCCTTCTTCCTGGACAACGCAAGCTTGCCAGAGTCCCATGGTCCAGATCTCCAGTTCATTCAGTTCCAAGTTAAGGTTCTTCCACTGGGGTAAATAGGTAGTGAGACAGGAGAGGACCCATCCCAACAGAGAGAAGACTATGCCACTTAATTGCATCGTTGGTCGATAGACCAAGGCCATTCTAAGAGCGGAGTGGTCTCCCCAGCAGTTCTGTAACAAGTGCTACCTGGCGTGATGGTGGAAGCTATGGTGATTTTACTTCTCTGCTGCCCCAAATATAAGCCCTTGCTGTTAACCCTTTGTAAGCTCTGAAACACTTTTTTGTTCTTTACGAATATAAAGTTTCACGTAAAGGACGAAGGACTTCACTAAACCACGAGTTAGGCTTTCCGATAAGGATTTGATCTGTTACCTTCCAATTTGCTTGGTAAAATTATATCCCAATGCCTGATGATTACAAGCCTGAGGATGAACAAAGAGGGCTCTATGACCCCTCACCCTAAAACACAACAGAAATCTTTGTGCTTCAATACGGATTAATTAGATTTTAAGTGGTGATAAAAAGTCAGCTCTGTGTGCAACAGGACTTCATTGTAATAGCTAAATTTGAGATTTCAGGGATGTAAATCAAGGCCTTGTAAAGAAAGGTAGACTGTTTGCCTATAATCTTTATTCTTAGACTTCCTCAACATACATAATGGCTTATCTTCCACCGCCCTGTTTTATGTCCCCAGCACTGTAAAAGACGCTTTGTGAAAGATCATTATGTTTCACATTTTCTACATTCATTTCCTTTAAAACGGGCTTTGTTTTGACTGACTCTTGAGGGGAAAAGGAGACGGGTATGGTGAAAGTACCGTAGGAAATGAAATCCTAGACATCCCTCCACCATAATGAACCCAGGCAGATCATCGGCCAGCGTAAACTTTACCTGCCCCAGGACTTCAGCAACACCGTGGTAGCAGCTTACACCAGCTCAGAGTGTCCCCTTTCCTAGAGCCCACGTCCCAGATGGCACAGAGTGTATACGCTTAGTGTCTAACAACGTTTGGCACTCAATGCTCCCAGGAATGCTTTCCTGATCAAAGCAGGATACCATTATGCCATTACCCCTTTAGGAAACCCTGCTTTTGTCCTGCTCTCGTGTCAGCTACGCTTGTGCTTATCTACGGGGTCAGCAAGGAGAACATTTGTCTGCTGCTCCCCCTCCACAGATGGTACGGCACAGCCTGTGTGGGAGCGAGCTGAGCAGGGTGAACCACGCACATGTGTACGACCCAGAGGGGCTTTCCAGTCTTTCCGGACCCCATTTCCTAGCTGCAATAATGTACTCATCTGCATGTTTTAATTCTCAGTTGCTCAAAATGGGTTATCAGGTGATGGAAAAACATAACGCTGCTTTTGAAGGTTTCCGAAGTCCTGAAAGGAATCATTAAAAAGAAGATCTCTTCTTCCCCCGAAGTCCTGAAAGGAATCATTAAAAATTTCACTGTGAGAAGATCTCTTCTTCCTCATTTCTGTATTGAGTCTTAATTTCTAACCCTTGTGGCTTTCCTGTCACAAGCTATGGAGAGCCAATGCAAGGAAAGATGATCTATTGCCCTTTTTCTTGGGTACCTACCCAGTCCAACTGTTTATACCCAGTCAAAAAATTACCGCACACAAGAGGATCACCAAAGATATTACTGACAACAGTGGGAACAAATTGATGCCAGCAAGGCTCTAACTTTGTCCATCCACTAGGAAAAAGAAGAATTAAAAAAAAAAACAAAAACCACCCAACCCTGTATTCAAACTCCAGCTTGTAATTTCTGATTTGCCAGCGTCATGTCTCTCCCCTGTCTGCGTTCAGAGCAAGAATGCTGGTTCTGGAAACCATCACAATGTTCAATGAGAAACTCCATAATGTCACTTGAATAATTTTTCAGACAAACAACTACACTTCAGGAGTGCTTCTGCTCACTCAGGGCTACGTGCTAATTTGACTTTTAAATCATGCTTACTGCCAGACTATTACTGGAGGCCTGTTGCGCTTCTCTTGCCTGGGAACCTTTAACATTTTCTTCTCTGCGCTTAATTCCAGCAGTCAGTACAGTGTGAGAGCACAAGATCAGGCACGTGAAGTCCATTTATTTTGGACATGTTGACCACTGCCGAAGCAGTATGCCAGCCTTTAAATTTTAGCAATTGGAAGCATTCAGACTACTGCATCAGTAAGATCTGCCAATTAACTTCTGCAACTTACTATTAACCATGCACTAACTTGGAGCAAGCAAAGCTTCCGTATACTATCCTATGCAAGATTATAAAAGAATGCTTGTTCTTCCGGGGGGGGTGGGGGGTGGGGGGGGAACAGGTAGGACTTGCTGTGTCACCTAGATAGTAATGAGGTCTGAAATGCCTTTACTTGGAACTTACTGATCTTATGAAAACGTCAGCAAACCCATAAACAAAACAGGACCTTCTAGCTGAACTAAGGCATGTAAATTTTCAGGTCTGTAACTGCCTTGCTCCTTTCTCCATCATCCTTCTTTCCCATTTTTCCTCCCCACCATGTATTTCTTTCTTTCACATATAGAAACATCTTATTCTCAGAATAATTTTATTTTGGTAGATTCCCGCCAACACAGAAGGTAACATGTCGGAGTTACTGCAAATCCAAAGGGCTAGAATTGGGCAGTGTACAGCAGCGACAACACCCGCACTGCACAGGTCCATGTCCCGGCTGTGCTCAGCACCAGCTGAATGGCCCTCTCCACCACTGAGCCCAGAGCTCCCATCAGTTTCTGCCCTACTGTTCGGGGTAATTTGAAACATAAACCCAGCGTGCACTGTTACATTGCAATGACAAAAACATCTGCTGACATCTGCACAGCCTGAAACAACAGCGGTTGCACTGGCCTGATCATCTCAAGGGGGTTCGGCGGAGGTGGCCACTGCCCCCAGGACAACCCTGCCCCTTCTCCTTCCCCTGCTCACCTTGTTGGCCTCTGCAGCGAGGACTGTGCTTGTCTGACACAAGCTTGTCAAAAAGAAAAGGAAGAGCGCGTACATCTATCACCGGCCACTGCACTTTCAGGTAAGGGGTGAGGATGAATTTAGAGGGGGTTTGGACTGTTTGGTTTTAGGCACCTCCCGACTTTAAACAAAGCCTGATGTATGCAACATTCAGGGATACCATCCTACAGCATCTTAAGCAGCTAAAACAATCTCAGTGTGAGGAACTGAGCTGCAGAGAAGAGAGTTCTGGTC